AAAAGTAAGAGATAATATATAACCTAAAAAGTAGGGCAGTTTATCTGCAACAACGGATAAAATGTATTAATAACGGATTTTTTAAATATTATTAGTGTATATAAGTAAATACAACCTGATACTTGTGTCTTACTCCACTAAGGATGGAGTTTCATCTATGGGTGTTTATCGGGCGGGCTGGGACGGGCTGAACGGGAAAAACTCCAGTCCATTCGGTTAGCGGGCGGGTTGTTAGCGGGCTCTTAGTGGGCTGTGTTTTTTCGGGTTTTTGTGGGCTCGTATGGGTTAGGGCTCAAACGGGCTTGGGCGGGCCGGGCTCTAGTTTTTTTCTTTTAATTTAAATTTTATTTTTTTTATTCAATGTTATTGATAGTTAAGTATTTGCAAACTTTTAAGGGTTAGAATTAAACTTTGAAGTTTAAAGTTTTAAATTTGAAATTTGTATTTTAAAATTATAAAATTGAAATTAGAAAGTAAGTGGCTACAAAAATTTATTTAATAAGAGTATAAGACCAATAGGCAATGTAAGGAACAAACTCTGAAGGCTTTCATTTATATTTTTAATACTTCAAATTAATTTGCAAGTTCTTTTTTGATTTTTTTATTTTTGAACTTGCAAATTAAAACTTAAAAGTTTACAATAATTATAAAAAATAAGAAATAGTACATCACATGCTTTGCATCATTTTTGTAAGTTCTTCCATGTCAACATGAGGTTCGGTTTCCGGCATTGGTTGAATCGGAACCATAAACCATTATATCTCCAAATTCTTGGTCCTCCTCTTCGTCTACTTCGTCACGCCCTTGATTTCGCCGTTCTGATTTTATCCAATCTCTGAAGCACACTAGAATTTTCAAAGCGTTGCTGCCCAATGAATAACGGATATCTCCTAACTGCTGCCTTGCTTGGCTAAATGCGCTCTCTGATGCGACTTTTGAAATCGGCACATTTAGCAAGTCTCGAGCTATGGCCGAAAGAACAGGAAGTTGATTTGAGTTGCTCCTCCACCAACCTAGCGGTAGAAAATCCTTTGTGAGGGGCTCTAGTGACTTTTGCAAGTAGAATTGTAGTTCATCAATATTCCTGCTACTGGTTTGTTGATGCTCTCCTAGTGTAGACCAAATCTGATAATCTTGAACACAATCATCATCATCCATAGTTGTTCCAGATGTTGAAGGATTAGTTGAAGGAATATTTGCATCTACAACCGAAGAAGCATCAACAATGTTAGCATAATAATTATATAAAGTTTGTAAATGTGTGTAGCTCAGAAATACAAGTGTCAATATCAGGAGTTTCAGTTGGGCCAATATCCATATAAGTATATAAAGCTCTAATTAATTGGCGACACTTTATCATTTTGACAGTAGGGTTTAAAATAGCACCAATTAGGTAAATATAGGGAATTGGGTAGAAATACTTTTTAAACTTATCTATCATAGATTCAACAACAGTAGCATATAATTCTTTCTACTTCATATTATGTAGTAAAAGAGAAATTTCAGCAATATGAACTAAACCATTTGAAATGGTAGGATAATAAGCTCCAGAAAACTCAAGTGTAGCCACATAAATTTTTTGTAAAAATCGTATAACATCATGAATGACTTTCCAAGTTCTAGATGTTAACAAACGGTTAGGATCGGTACAATGAGAATTAGCAACTTCGGTTATAGGCATTCTATATTTATAACAACATCTTAAGAACAAATAAGTATAATTCCACACAGTAACTATTTCTTCAGGCATGAGTCTTGATTTTAGTCCATAGTGTACGCATTTTTCCTTAAATGCATTTAATATAGCACTTCTATTATTTCCTTGAATTACACCAACAGCTCTCCTAACTAAAGTAATTTCATCTTTAAATAATTCAAGGTCACTCTTCACAATCAAGTTATAAATATGACATGCACATCTAACATGAAATATTTCAGGAATTGGTGGGTGTAGATGCAATTTTAATATTGTAATAGCAGCAGTGTTGTTAGAAGCATTATCAAATGACATACACAAAACTTTTTCTGCAAGATTATAAAATATAGCAACTTCATGTATAGTATTACTTATAAATGCACCAGTATGACTTTGATCTTCATCATATTTAAAAGCAATAATACGTTTTTGCATACAAAAATTATCATCTATCCAATGGCATGTAACAGTCAAATAATCATTTCCATTCACAGCACGACCAATATCAGAAGTAAGAGAAACTTTACAAGGAAGACTTGCGAACAAATAACGTATATATGTCTGATATTGTCCAAAAAGCCTAAAGATATCAGCTCTACAAGTACTTCTAGGAATACCTTTAAACATAGGGTTATAAATTCTTTGAATATAAGTAACAAGATACGATGAAGAAGCAAAACTAAAAGGTAAACAACCTAAAACAATCATTTTAGCTAATTCTTCCCGATCTTTCTTAATATCGTATTTCCCAAATAACTCATCAGTAATCGGGTTAAGTCTTTGTTGCCCAAATAACTCATCTACTCCCCAATCAAGAGGGTGTTTCTCTTCCATATGCCTACAAAGTTGACCCGTTCCCCCTCCTTTACTGGGCTCATGTTTAAAATGTTCACTACAAAATTTACATTTTACATAATTTTTTTGATTTTCTAGTCTTTCAAAAAACATCCAACACTTACTTCTTAATCGTCGATTCTTCTTAATAGGGAGAGGAGGCCTACTTGTTGCACCCCTAACATTTTAAGTTTGACTAGCATTACCAGGTGTAGGTGGTGGTGTTTCAAGATTATCGGGTGATTGAATATCATCTAACAAAGCATCTAAATCATCATCTACACCATAATTTCTCGCATTCACTCATAATCTACATTTAAATTTTCAGGTGAACTTTCAGAAATATGTGTAAAGCTACTAGAAGAACCAACACCACCTCTTGTTCTTTTTGAAGTTTTCTTACTACCACCTCTACCAGTGCACGCTTTTTTGGCCGCTCTAAGTAAATCCATTATATAAATTAAAGTAAGAAATTAAGTTAAGAAATTAAATTAATAATTCTAAATAATAAAATAAGTGTACACCAAATAAGAGGAAGAGATGGAACGAGTGTACCGGGATTCTGTATGCCGCACTAATTTTGAATTTTTGATATCGAAATTCAAACTTCAATTGATAGACCGAAACTTGATAGTTGATAATACTTGAATACTTGATGCCACACTTCACTTGAATAATTGATATTTGATAATAATAATTTTGTAATGTCTAAACTAAATAATTAATGAAACTTGAAATAATAAATAATTGAGAATTTGAGAATTTAAGAACTATAATATCAAGAGAGAATTGAGACTTGAAAGAGAATTAGAGTAGTAAGAGAGTGAATTGTGAGAAAAAATGAAGAAGAATGGGGGCTATTTATAGATTTTAAAAAGTTAAAAAAGTAATTTTGCAATTATTAGGGGTGGGAGGGCTATATTTTTAATGGGGGGGCGAAATTGGCCATTTTTGCAATTTCTGGCCGTTCCCCAACGGTCATTTCTCAATTTGACCGTTGGGAACGGTCCAATTAAATTTTAAAAAAAAAATCAACGGTAACCGGGTTGCTAACGGGCTGCAGCCCATGTTCAGCCCGTTAAGACATTTCGGGTTCAACGGGTTAGGGCCATCGTTAAGCTAAACGTGAACGTCCACAACCCGCCCCCCTAAACAACCCGTCCCAACCCGTCCATTAATGAGCAGTAGCGGGCTGAACCGGGCTGACCCGTGTTGAAGGGGGGTGAAAACGGGTCAGCCCGGCCCAATTAACACCCTTAGTTTCATCCGCTAACAGATAATAGGTATCCCAAATTATTTGCGTACAATAGATCCTTATGACCCGGCCCTTTCCCGGATCACGTGCATAGCAGGAACCTAGTGTATCTGGCTGCCTAGTTATCTCAAACTATTTGTCATTATAGAAGTTCAAGAAAAAATTAATAACTACTATTTTTTTTTCCATTTACCATTTATAGTAATTATTTTTGAAGATGAAGATATCACATAAATAAAATAAATATTCAATTAAAATGAATTATATCTTAAGACATAAATAATGATAAAATAATCCAAAATCATCAAATTAAAAAGCACGTAAAAGAGAAATACGGCCTATAATTTGAGGCGGAGCAAGTATACTGTTGCAATGTGTGCTTCATTATGAGTTTGTGAAATATATGTTGTTTATGTAGTTGGAACATTTGGTTGGTAAAACCAGTACTATTCCTACACAATGCTTGTTCAGATTGATGTGGCGGCTCTCTAGTGGAGAGTTGAATTTTAGACAACTAAATCAATTAAAGTGGAAAGTGAGACCTTTATATTTAATTATACACTAACTACTGAAATAACATAGACTTAAGTTGGGAATAAATAATCAAAAATTGAAGTTCTTTCAGGAACCTTTATTGACTGTTGAACTGCACGAGTTATACTAGTAAGGCTGTAGCTATACGACTAGCTGGCCCATCTTATTTATTTTTTAAAATTGATATATTTTGCATTGCGACCTGTCTAATTGACTAATTCGACACGCTCTGTTGCTCCATATATAAAATTTATTAAAGAGAAAAACGCTTCTTATTATGATCGAACCGATCTTTTATTTTCAAATCTCGAACCGATCTTTTATTTTCAAAGCTCGAACCGAGGCCTCTAATTAATGGTGAATGGATGAATAACCGAGGCCTCTAATTAATGGTGAATGGATCTTATTCATCGCATCTAACAATCCTTTGTGATGCTCTATCTTATTCCTTGTTATCAATTTGCAGAATTTTTGTAGCCAATTATTCTACCAGACAACATGACATTCATTCAACTACCACCCTTTCTCTTTCTTAAAGGAAAATATATTAACTAAATTTTAATTTATGTGCACCGTCAATAAAAAAAAAATTGCTTCAATGTAACAGACTTGTGCTAGTAAGTTAGCTACTATTCACAGAGATATTACATATAATCTTTTACATTATCAGCACATAAGATATAAAACTCAAAAAAACAAATACACTCGCATCTCGAGTGCAATTTTATTTCCTCACAACAAAATTCTCAAACCACATTTAAAAAAAAAAAAAGAATTAGTAACTAACAGTATGGGTAAGTGATAACAACTTCCCTTTACACATCCTTCTTTTCCTTTAAAATTTATGTACAAATCACACACTAAGTTGTATAGTTTTCTTTTTGAATATCTTCTAAATCATGTATAACCAAAACAAAAATTTAAGCCAAAACCTCTGCTGGTTCTTGGCCTAGAATTATTGGCTTAATTTTATTCTTCCATAGCTCTTTATACATATCAATTTCTCCAACTTTTCTTCGAACCTCCACAACTACAAAACCATCCGTCACTCTGTAAATTTCCACGTTCATGATCAATTTACCTTTTTTCATCTCCATCACCCATTCTTTTTTCTTCTTCAACCTGATATTCTCCGTCTTCGCCATCTCCTCCACTCTCTCTATTACCGTCTCATCCGACTCTTCCACGATTAACCGTTCTGAATCCTCCAACGGATTGCATTCATCGTTTAACAATCCTGAGAGGTTTAATCCTAAAGAGAATGAGATAATATCAAAAGCATTCAAATAAGAACTCTTGTCTTCTCCCTCCTTAACCTCTTCTATTTCCTTGCTAGGCTCATCAGAGCTGGATGGACTCGTTAAATTTAAATTCTGAATATGTTTCTGAGGCTGACCATCTTCCTCGCAAAATTTAACGCGTTTCAAGCCCTTCTTGAACCAAGGATCTTTGATGATTTCTTCGATTGTTATTCTTGTTATAGGATTTGTATCAAGAAGTCGAGATAAAAATCGTTTTAAATCAGATGACATCCATTTAGGACACTTGAATTGTCCATTGCATATTTTTTGGTACATCCCCATGAGATTTGAATCATGGAATGGCAAATATCCAGCATTCAATACAAACAAGATGATTCCACATGTCCATATGTCTACCTGATGAAAATACAATAGCATATAATTAGAAAAAAAGGAATTTGAGACATAAAAACAACTTTCCCTAAAGAGATATTGCCCAGCCTAGTGCACAAAGTATCTCATTTTTGCATTAGAATTATCACAATATATGTGAATTACAGACTATTATCCAACATACCTTAGCTCCATCATATCCTTTCTTTGTTAGAATATCTGGTGCCACGTAAGAAGGGGTCCCACAAAGCGTGTGTAACAACCCGTCTTGTTGAACTTGTTCCGTTAACGCACTGAGTCCAAAATCGGACACTTTCAAATCGCCATTTTCATCAATCAATAAGTTTTCAGGTTTCAAATCACGGTGGTAGACGCCGCGTGAATGACAGTAACGGACGGCGGAGATGAGTTGCTGGAAAATTTTCCGACTTTTTTCCTCGCTGAATTTTCCATCCTTGGCGATTTTCGCGAACAATTCGCCGCCCTTGACGAATTCCATGACGAAGTAGATCTTCGTCTTGGTCGCCAATACTTCATCGAGTTTGACAATGTGCGGGTGTCGTAGACGCCGCATGATTGAGATCTCGCGCTTGATGTTGGACTTCAGCGCGGGATTGGTGTTAATTCTTGTCTTGTTGATGATTTTAATCGCCACGCTTCGGCCATCTTTGATGTCCCTAGCGTGGTACACTTTGGCGAATGCGCCACATCCGAGGAGTTTTCCTAACTCGTATTTGCCGAATAGGGTGGTTTCTGAAGAGGCAAAGGCCATTGTCGGCGCGTAATCGCCGAAGGAGCCAAGAAAATGTTCAATCTCGAAAATTAAGATGTCGAGATCGAACCAGATGAATTTTATTTACTAGTGATAATTGATGATGAGAATGGAGTAAAGGAGCGATAGAGCAATTTGGAGTTTGTTAGAGTTCTGTGAAAATGGCTTTCACATAAAAAGTTGGAGTCCCATAACTTTAGCCTTTCTGGCCACTATGTATATAAAGGTCGTTTTTATTTTCTTTACATTAAAAAAAGTATATATATAAATTGCAGAGTGTGAGAATGTCTATCCTCACACGTCATTATAACAACACTTTTTTTTTTTTTTATGTTCTTAATTAATGTTGTGTTTTTATTTTTCCTAGTCAACAAATGGCAACACGGTGACAGTTTGTTTTTGGGATTGTTTTATGCGTGTCTACCACTTGTTTGAGTCAAAATATCATTGTTTTGGTTTAGTGCCTAGAGATAACTAAGAAGTTGTGGATCCAACTAATCAAGGGGAATTTCAAATGATTAATTGTTAAAACTCACATTTTTCTGTTTGAAGCTTATGGGAAATTAGGTTAAAGAAAGAGATTTTAGTGACGTGAAGGAGTGCAAATGTGCAATGACAACCATTAATTTTTAATTAGTACTCTATTGTTTTAACTTATGTATCTTATTTTCGTTTTAGTAAGTATATTTTAAAAGAATCTCTTTCTATATTTAGTAATTCTTTAACTTTAGCATTTCACATGACATATTAAGATTACAAAATTTTCTTATTTTTCTTAAATTTCATATCCAATTAAAAATAATCAGAGCGTATGGAATATAATTCCAATTTCGTATTGTTGATCATTGAAATTATTATACTTATTTTTTCAGCTATGCTAGCATAGATTGATCTTACCATGAATGTGTGCAATAGAAGTACAGTATTCAACTACAAGAGAATTCTAGGGTATGGCTAGTGGTTAATAAAGTGAAAGCTCATTGATCGTAGTTCAAATTTCAATAGTGATACTAAATACTAAGTGGTTTCTTCCTCCCTGCCTAAGACTCGATGTGCAAAATTATCTAATACATGTATTAATGAGATAACACTACTTGATAAAATAATCGAGATGTTTCTTTGACTCTGAAACCACCTTTATACACTACAAAAAATAGGATCATTCCGACCAAAAAAACCAACCGAACATGATCGATGGTTGATAAAAAACCACGCAACCGAATTGGGTGGGTCGAAAAACACTGGTCGATATTAAAACGAGTGAATCTCTCGGTAACCGAATACATAGCGACTTGGTCGATTTCCTTAAATTATATAATTGTAAAATGTATCATCCAGGATTTAATCGAGGTCTATACTGTGGCAGGGTACTATTTGTTAGAAAATAATAAACAAAAATGGCTTTGAGGCATGAAAATCGACTGTCCTTAAAGAGTTATCGCCTGTATACTAATTTAGGGAAATACAAAACGATTCTCTTCAGGATACAACAAAGCCTGAAATAATACTTGTGATTTTCTATACTACTTCGTTGGAAATTCTTGTGTATTTATCGGCAACTAACAGACCCTTTCAGAAAAGATGTCTTGTTTCAAAAACAGTCATATTCGGTTGGACCCTTTTCATAATAGACATAACTATTTGTTCGAATTTTGAATTTAAAATTCAAATAAATTTAATTTTTCTGTCACAAAATAAAATAATTAATTTTAGGATCCGACTCAGCCCGCGCCCAAAATTCAAGTCCAAGTCCAAGTCTTCGATTATAATATATAAATATATAGTGTACTTAATTGCACACACTTAAAAGTATGTGTCCTAAATCAAAGAAATAAAAGGGACAAGTGCTTAAAATGCTTCAAAATTGCCTGTGGGATCAAACCCCTTCCCAACTGGAATAACAAACTATCTTACACTATTCTACCACTAGATCTCACATGCTTGTTGGTCTAACACTTTATTTTTCGTATTAAACTCTTCAAGTGCATGTTTGCGCAAAAATAACCGACTCACTCGATAAGTTTACTGTCAGTTTTTAAATAAGTTGACTGAAGATTTGACCAAAAAAATATATCGACTCGGCAACTTTTTGAGTATAGTTTTTAATTTATTTTAAATAGAAAACCGACTGAGTCGATCAGTTTTCTAATAAATAATTTTTTTCGGTACACATTACCGGCAGATTGTCGAGACAATAAGTATTTGAATTTTGGCGCTACAAAAATTGACTGAAGTTGGTCGGTTTCGTCCAAACAAATTTAAAAAACTTCTTTTGCTAATTCCGTGCGACTTGGTCGATAGTCTTCGGTCCAGAAAGAGCTGTTTTTTTTAGTAGTGATCGAAAATATAATACATATATATAGTATAGGCTCTCCAACAGAGGAAGCAATGGAGGTCAAATGCCAATGGTCGGTGGTAGAATGACTATGGCAATGGCAATGGCAATGGCAATAACGTAAGGAGATCCTTGGTCGGCTGCGATGACTTAAAGATGGACTCAACTGTAGAGATGATGCATACTAATGCCATCATTTAAGTAATTAATTAACCAATCTTACATTCAATTTGCGGTGAAAAGGGTTTTTTGTTCAACCTTTGCTTTGTGTTCAAATTAATTAAGTTTTAAAAGGCTATTTTTTTTTTGCTTTGTTTATTGTGTTTACCTCGAAAATACGAGTAACAATTAAACTTGTTAATGATTTTAAAGATATGTGAGTTAGTCCAATACTAATTAATAATCAAGAAATCTAACGTATAACTTAAGGAAGTAAGTGAAATCAAACCAGTATGCAAGCCGGTCTCGACCTCGAGCTAAGGTGGCCTCGAGATAGGTGAAGAACAATAAAGTTATAATAGGGAAACTCTAAATAAGGTACATTTCTATTTACAGTAAGAAATCTTATTAGGACATCTGTCTAACCGCCTAGTACGGATTAGTACTAACTCGTACAAATCTATTCCGGAATTTACGCCATGATCTTGGGGGCGCGGCGAGAATCTTGCTCATTCTGTTACAAACTCATAACGACTCCATCTCGGGGTTGGTCATACTCGGTTTCGGTACTCATCGTGCACTTCGATCTTTGATCCTTATGTTCTGCCCTCGAACTCGAACCCGGTCCATACTCAGTTTATCCCTCAGTAAGAGCCCTTTGTTCCTCGAGGTGAGCCCTCGAGCCCATAAAATCGGGGTTACATGATTTTACCGTGTACAGATAGTCCCCGCGTTTTTTAGAGTAGAATGATAAGAAACGATTTGAACCTCAATTTTTCAGAGCCCTTGATGATGACGTCATTCTCGTGACATAGGTACTCGAAGTGATCGAAACGTCCCATCGGTTCGCTTCCCCAAAACATTAAATACTTCTCCAGTGGTGGTCGGCCACTAGCGTCGTTGAAGCGTCGCCGCCCACCTATAAATATAAGGTTTAATTTCAGAGAAAGCTTTACTCCAATCTTCAAACCACCTTTAAACTTCTTTTATATCTCCTTCTCTTCATCTCTTTTCTCTCATTATCCGCTACTCCCGTTCCTTTTAGTGCTAAAAAACATAAAACTCCGTCTATCTCCACATCTTTGGATCAATGGCGAAAACCTCTAAAACCATTCCTTAAAAAGAGAAAGCTACTTCCTCTTCTTCCCGGTCGGCCGGCGATAAAGCGCCGGCCCTTCACGAGATCACTCCCTGCCCTTGCGTTATAAAGAAAGACTTCAGAGTTGAAAATCCCCCCGCTATTCCTGGTCGATGCAAGCATGTATCGAGATATGTTTGCTTGATCACGGAGAAGCACATCAAAGCCATGAAGAAAGAGTATGGTTGGGGAGACGAGGTCATGGTATAGATTCCCGACCCCGAGGAGAGCACTACCCTCATGTGGAGGGGTTTCTAAGTGTTTACACTTACCCCTTCACACTGGGTCCCCTCGATCCGGTTGTGATTGACTTCTGTAAAAGATACCAAGTCACCCTCGGCCAGATCCATCCCTCCTTATAGCGTATAGTTAATATGCTTCGGTACTTCTCCGATAAGGCCGAGGGGCTAGAGTTCACCCTCAACCACCTCATTAGACTGTATCGGCCTCAGATTTTTCGAGGGTTGATCAAGCTCCAACATCGATCGATCAAGGCCTTCTTCACTAGCAATGATGACAATAAGGATCAGGGTTGGATGAGCTGGTTCGTGCGAGTGAGGACCTTGGACGTCATTCCCGTGGATAAAATGTTGTTCCCAGAGAAATGGAACCCCATTCGTAAGTGAAGTACTTTGCCTAGTGTATTCTTATATTCCATTTTTGCATTGTGTGATGTCTTTACCTTTTTTGCAGTGGTTGCTTGGATACCCCATGCGATCCACGACCTCGAAGATTGGGTCCGAAAATTATCCGCGACCTCTATGTATAATGAGCCCAAATGGCGTGATTTATTGAAAGGCAAATGAGAGGCCAAACACCATGGTAAGCCATTTCCCTAAGTTTTTGTTGCTTTAGTGAATATGTCACCTTACTTATGCCTGTTCTTAATTCATGTAGGTATTGGAGATGCCTCCGAAATAAGGCTAGCCCCGGTCGGGGAAGAGACCGAGTCCCCGATTCCCAAATTAGGGAAAGATAACAAGAGGAAAAGGGCTTCGAAACCTGAAGACCCCCAGGATAAGAGGGCCCCTAATCGAAGGCTAAGGAGGAAACTTATTCATGCGGACATAGATTCGGCCCACTAGTTTCTGGATGATGATGAAAATGATGGCGAACAATCGGGGCTGGTGACCCAAACTAGGAAACCAGTTGAGGCTACCAAACCCTCCGGATCGGAGACCTTGCCTCGTGATGAGGAAACTCCGAAGGAAGACTCGGGAAAGGCCCCCGAATCACCTGGGGTCGAGATTATTCCATTGGCTTCAACAAGTATGCCACAGGGGAAAGTACCGAGACCCTCGAGGCTGAATAAAGTGCCTCGAGTAACTTGCTCGAGGCCATGACCATAGGTCACTCTCCTTCTTTACCATCTTATTCTAATGAGGCAATAAATGAAGCCCGAGCTCTGTGAACGCTTGACCCGAGCAGAGCCCCTGGTGAAGAAGATCATTTCCAGGATTGCTTTACTGGGGTTGATGATGCCGCCAACCTCAACAACGCATCTACCCTCTTCGAAGAGGCTCATCGTCTTTTCTCCCAAGTAAGTATCAGCTCCCGCTGTTGTAACGTTTTCTTCTCCCCTTCT